CGGCCACGGGAGCTGGTGATAGAATCACCCCCAAATAGTGAGGAGGCAGTCAAAATCACCAGCTACGAGGAAAGGTGGCTCGAGTTGGGAAATTTAGTTTCAAAGGCAACAAAGTCAATGTTGCGGGAAGAGAAGAAATAGACTGAAATAACTGATCCAACAGCAAAGAAAGATTCGAATGACTGTGTACAGGACAGTGGTTTGAAAGGGTGGTATGACATACGAGACAAAATGGTAATTGGAAATTGGTATAGGAGATAGGAAGGATAGGTTTAGGGGAGAGTGTTGGAACATCTTGGGAGAGAGGTGGCGGCGAAAAGCGAGCGACATTACTAGAGTAGGGAGTCAACGTGCCTCCTGTCTGGCTTCACGCAGAGTGAGACTAAGTTTGAATCTGAGAGGTACCACCTCAGACTCAAACATGTAAGTGGAGCAGCCTCTATAAAATACATTATGGGGGCCGCTACAGTTTTGACACTGGTGGGGAGGAGGTTGATATGGTCGGACAGTGAGGGATTCTCCTCCAATGTAAATATTAAATTGAAGTCATGTCTACAGAAAGTAAATTTGGCAATGTTGGTGGGGTTCTTCCGATGATCTCTAATAATCCGTAAGACAGGCGAGTAAGTCTTCTCCACAATCTGATCATTTTTTGCTATATATAGGGCAGTTTGCTGGGAAGATAGAGGCAGTTCCAGTACAAGTATTGAAGGTTGGACGAGGTTCTGCAGGAATGGGGTTGCCAGAGATGAGGTCGAGTTGATAATGTTATAGTTTGGTTTTCAGATGTAACTGACGAGACAGGAACGATCGGGTCGGCTATGGACTTTGACTTTGCTTACTTGTTTTTGGAGACATTGATTGAAGAGAAGTGTATTGTCAGAGTAAGCAGATTGGGGGAGGGGGATCACGAAAATTCGGTCCCATTTGTCTGGGATAAATAGAGTATTAAAGATATTTGTTAAGATGGGGGTGGTAGATGTACGGGGACGTATGGAAGAGGGAATAGTGTTCTGGGAGGGAGAGGTAGACAATACGGCTGTAAAGCAGTAATGAGGGAGGATGTGGTGATTGGTGAATAATGTTGTAGGGGTAGAGGTGATGAAGCTGAGAATATTGGGAGAGTAGGAATGTCTCCTGGAGAGTGTTGACTTGGGTAGATCATTTACTAGTAAACATTGAGGAGGGGGTAGTACAGATAGTCCCCTACTTAAGAACATTCTACTTATGAACATTCCATACATACAAACAAAAATTTTTAAGTACTAAAGTCCAAAAAATTGTTTGAAAGATGCTAGCAAACTTCAAATTTCCCGGGCACGAATATAGTTCAAGAGTCTGGTACTGTATAAGGTATGTCATACTTCTTGGGATTTATTTACAGGTATTCTTAATGTAAACAAAACTTTAAAACAATGGGAAAAAAGGTAATGGAGACCCGACTTTCGACATAAACAAATTAACTTACAAACAGCCTCTCGGTCCCCATTATGTTCTTTAGTTGGGGACTTTAGTTGCAGTGTTCAAAGTCGTGGTCAAAGGAGAGCCCGGGGTTGTGGAACTGGGAGAGAGAGTTGGTGGAGCTATTGATGAAGGGGCTAGCCTCATTGCTGCTATCAAGGGCATAACATCTTCATTGTTGGCCATGATAAGCCTAAAGTATGTTGGGGAGGGAAACAGTCCCCCCCTCTGGGTCCCCTTGAGGGGTAAGGGCTGGGCAACTAAAACGGGAATACCGTGGCCATGGCTCCCTCCCGCCATTCAGGACTAGCACAAAGTTAGCCTTTCATTCTTTCAGGACAGCTCTCACACTTTAGGAAGTATATAGTAGAAGGGGTTGGAGAAGGGATGGAAACGAGAAAGCAGAAGGGGAAAAAGACCATGCAAAATAAGTGGAGTCTCAGTCCTCACCTCCTAAGCCCCCCACGACAGCAAAGTCCAAGGGACGGGGGAAGGGGGGGGGAATATGAAGTTAATATGTTGGAGGGGAAAAGTGGATAGGGGACTGGGTTTGCTCCCTACAGCCAATTTATCTTTAATATTAATGTTGCAGTGTTTTGTTAAGTGTATCTGTTATTTTGTGCATTAATAAAGTTTCTTGACTGATTTTCTGTTAACTTGATTAGTAAAAGATCAACTTTCTCCTCAAATGAGTCTCATCTGATAGCAACAACCCAGTTCCATATGTAGTAAACACAGCAACACTGACCACAAGTCATGTTTTCCGACAGTGCCACTTAATGATTAACGGTTAAAACAAATTTGCTAAACTTTGAAGATCATAGAGCACCTTCCAGTGTCACTTAATCCAGTGCCAACAGGCATGACGTGTACATACATGCCATGCCCACTGAGTTACTTGATTGTTTTTACACAGATGGCTACACTTGTACCAAGTCACCAATGAGCCAGTTATGAGTACTGCCTGTCTCACCTGTTTACACTTTTCTTTGATTTGTGAAAATGTTTTACATTATCTTATTTTACTGTTACTAATGTTTATAACATCATAGTAATTATAAAGTTGATAATAAACATAACACCATTGATATTCAGAGCACTAGTAAATACATTTTTTTCCACCTATTCAAATCACTTTAGGTCACAAGGTCTATTAATTGACTCCTTTGTGGCTAAGAATTAGAACCATCTATGTGCAGAGAGATTACAAAAAATATTAAAATGCATTTTCCCCCATTTTTTATTAATTTTCCCCAGCAACATTGGGTTTAGATAAGGATTTTTTATCAGTACTTTTTTAATCATACCTAAGCAAGGAAGAGTTTACAGATATCTAAAGATTCATAAATCTGTATCAAGGGCGGAAGAAAGAAAAGAACTAGGGAGCACTGATCCCCTAAATCTCGTCTCCCACTTTACCATTCCCTGCTATCCCACTGCATCAAAGGATACTTAATAGACTTGATGGCCAGTCAGAGTTCAACTGAAAATTTTATGCCCTTGCAGAAATTAATTCTTATTTATGAATGGTATTTCACAAAATTTTCCATTCTTATTCAACCAATTTCCTCCACAATTGTTTATATGGAAAGTGAAAAAAGTTACTTGACAGTGTATATTTATTTTTAAATACCCTATACAAGAGAGGAATTTAGATAATTTAGATCTAGAACAAGTATGAAAACCAAAGTATAAAAACATTCAGTGAAAATGAAATTTGGAAGTGCCAATTTTTACACAAAATTCAAAATTTTCAGGTTCCCTATTTTGTTCCTAAAGTACTTCAATTTGATACATTTGACAAAAAATAGTAAAAAGTTGATATTTCATAAAATACAGGACCATCTGAAGGTGTTCTCAGTCCACAATTGCATGACAATGCATTTATCAAAAGTTTTCTTAATCATTCATCAATCACAAGCGTTAATAGGTTTGCATTAAAGCACTATATCACAATTTTAGTGAACTGACACTTCTCATTTCTCATTTTCACATACAAATATAAATGAAAATCATTCATATAGTAATATATATAGTTGCTCATCATCCTACACTGTCACTGCCAGAGGTTTTCAGGCCACCTGAAAAGAGAAAGTCAATGTCAATGCACTGCAATATTCTCACAGCTGAACCATCTAATTCCAAAAATCCTTGTGCCTCAAATATTGTCCCCAACACCTGCCTATCTCCCTAACATAATCACAACAGTCAGAAAGACTTCCATGCCAGAGTGAACTAGCAAGGTGTGGTCAGGGAGGTGTGGCAAACAGAAGGAGGTGCAGTTGTCTCGCACGTCAATGACTCATTCACCGACGATACCCAACCGGTAAAGTTGGTGGGCAAAGGCCCCATCAGGTGGATCTAAGGAACGTGCTTCAAGTTTTGTGGCTCTGCCAATTCTGCATATAAATTTTAATTATCTATGTAAAGCATTTTTCATCTTTCCTAGGTCTATTAAAATTATTTTTCAGTAATTCCTAATATTGTAATTAAAAAATTCATTGCAAATAAACTGAATAGCAAAACAGTAATTACTTACTTAAAGCTGTTCAAACCATACACAGCTCACTGCCGTGTGTGTGCAAGCCACCTGGGAAAACAATTCCATGTTAATGTTGCAATTCAATTACTAAGAACACTTTGCATCAAATATTGCCAAACATCTGCCTATCTTCATAATATAATCACAACATTCATAAATGGTTTCTAAATATTGTCCCCAACACCTGCCTATCTCCCTAACATAATCACAACAGTCAGAAAGACTTCCATGCCAGAGTGAACTAGCTAGGTGTGGTCAGGGAGGTGTGGCAAACAGAAGGAGGTGCAGTTGTCTCGCACGTCAATGACTCATTCACTGACGATACCCAACCGGTAAAGTTGGTGGGCAAAGGCCCCATCAGGTGGATCTAAGGAACGTGCTTCTTGTCTTTGGTGCTTTCATCATTCCATATGCAAATTTAACCCATTGGCATTAGCATATGTACTGTCCACTGAAGTTCTTATGAATGGTGTGTAATTAATTTGACTAAGATCCAGGGGTGCTTAGTCACCAAGGAATCAGTTCATAGTCCTACCTAACTACACCTGACTAGCAAGTTTTGAGGGATTTTATTTTTTTAATACATCAACATTATCATATCACCTATTATTATTACAGTGATAACCATGTTCACAATATTAAGGTAAAAAGGCAAGATATGGTAAGGCTAATATTTAGCAACTTTGTGACTAAGCAATCTGGAGCCATTTATGTGTAAACAAGATTTATAAACTCAAATAACAGTGGACTGGGCATATGTATACATATATGTGTGTGCGTGTCTATGGACTACACTCCTTTATCAAATCTAAAAAAGTATAAGGGGCTCCTAGATGGGACTATGGCCCTCCGGGTCCCTAGATATCCCCCTACCATTCCCATTAACCCAATCCGGATGGGCCATGTGTATTGGCATTATAAACTGCTTGGTCTGCAGGGTATACCTGTATGCACAGCAACGCACCAGAGTGCTTGATGTTCTGGACTCCCGCACCCAGTGTCTGGCTATTGCCAGAAATCACCAGAGTTTATAACGCTCAGGGATTTCTGTTCACCCATCAGTGATGGGTTAAATATTACAGATACAAGAGACATACAAGACTCACCTACATGCTGCTCATACATCATGTGGGTCTTCATTACCAGCCATCTGAAAAGAGGAACACTAGCATTTAATCTCAAAAGATTCCTCATAATATTCCTACATTCCTAACAATCACAACAGTTAGAAATGGTTTCTGGTTAATTTTAATTAAAAGTTGAATCTATTATTGTCGAACTTTAATAAATAAAAATGTCCCAGTATCAAAAGAAGGTATCTGCATCAAATATTGTCCCCAACACCTGCCTATCTCCCTAACATAATCACAACAGTCAGAAAGACTTCCATGCCAGAGTGAACTAGCAAGGTGTGGTCAGGGAGGTGTGGCAAACAGAAGGAGGTGCAGTTGTCTCGCACGTCAATGACTCATTCACCGACGATACCCAACCGGTAAAGTTGGTGGGCAAAGGCCCCATCAGGTGGATCTAAGGAACGTGCTTTAAGTTTTGTGGCTCTGCCAATTTTAATTACCTATGTAAAGCATTTTTCATTTTTCCTATGTCTATTAAAATCATTTTTTAGTAATTCCTAATATTGTAATAAAAAAATCCATGGCAAATAAACTGAATAGCAAAACAATAATTACTTACTTAACCTACTCTACGCTCTGGCAAACAAAGGCGGCGCACTGACTTTGAGCGCGTGAGTTCGGTACATCAGCCCAAATCACTGGCTCGCCGCGCTGTGGCACGCAGCCGCGGCATACAGCCGCACGCCAGCTTTCGAGCGGTTTGTTTTCACGCCTATCAGGGTCATCCATCGGGAAGGGGTTAAAGCTGTTCAAACCATACACAGCTCACTGCAGTGTGTGTACAAGCCACCTAGGAAAACAATTCCATATTAATGTTTCAATTCAATTTACTGTCCAATTCAATTACTAAGAACACACTGCATCAAATATTGCCAAACATCTGCCTATCTTCATAATATAATCATAACATTCATAAATTTTTTCTGAATATTGTCCCCAACACCTGCCTATCTCCCTAACATAATCACAACAGTCAGAAAGACTTCCATGCCAGAGTGAACTAGCTAGGTGTGGTCAGGGAGGTGTGGCAAACAGAAGGAGGTGCAGTTGTCTCGCACGTCAATGACTCATTCACCGATGATACCCAACCGGTAAAGTTGGTGGGCAAAGGCCCCATCAGGTGGATCTAAGGAACGTGCTAATCTCTGGCATTTATCATTTCAACTATATTTCATTAGTGTCTTCATTTATTACTACTGGAGTTTCTTACTTTTCTTTCATGCCTATTTAAAAGAAGCCCTGATTTATACTGTAGCTTTCATGATATTGTAAATAAAATGAGGTTCAATGATTTAAAAAGTATATATAAAAAGCATTATAAAAAATACTCACCTACACACTGTTCATTCTATACCAGTTGTATTCAGCATCGAAGTCATGGTTCTGTAACCAATGGGCTGGTTCCTAGGTGTGCCACAGACATGTACTGCGAATTTAGTAGGAAAGATTAATATACAATTAATAATAAAAACAATTTTACCAAACACTCAAGGAAAGGTGAAATCAGGCAAGGTTATAAGGTTTGATAATCGACTTCTTGGTGGCTGAGCTCTTGGAGCTATCTCTGTGCAGACATTTCACAAAACAATACTACTGTGAACAATAGACTTTCCCAGGGCATTAGGATAACATTACTAATAGCAATACAACACATAAGAAAATACTTCTAAAAATCAAGGAAAAGAGTAAACAGGTGGCACAGACCTTATGAAATAGTGCAACATGTCTTATAAAATCAAAATGTATATATAGACTTAGATTTCATACATTTTGATTTTAACCCAAATCCGACAGGCATGGCATTTAGCTACATGCCATGCCCAGAGTTTACTTTATTAATTATTTTAAGACAGAGGGCTACACTTGTACCAAGTCACCTATGTGCCAATTACGAAGTACTGCCTGTCTTACCTGTTTACCCTTTTCCTCGATTTTCGAAAATATTTTGTGTTATCTTATATTGCTGTTACTAATATCTATAACATTATAGTATCATAATGTCTAATAAAATTAACACCATTGATATTTATAGCATTAGTTAAAAAAAAAAGGGGGAGGTCACAAGATCATCTACATAAGGGGAGCGACTACCGGGTTTGCAACAGGCATATGGTATGTTGCACAGCTTTGAAATCTTAGTACGCTGTTTGTCTAAAAAAAAAAAAAAAAAAAAAAAAAAAAAAAAAAAAAAAAAATATTTAGTGAATTTCCTGAGATTTGGGTGAAGTGTAGGTAAAACTCAAACAAAACCAGTTTCCATACTTATTGTTTCAGAGGCTTTACTTTTCAGTCAACCGCTTTGAAAAAAATACCATAGAGACTTCATGTAAATATCTACATTGTGTATTTATGATTTTTTTATATTTTGTTTTGTCTAAGAAAAAAAAAAAAAAAAATTTCCACTAATTTTCTCCACAGACCTATTTTCTGTTGACATTTTCAAGAATTTTCTAAATACCAAAAATTATCCTATAGTTGTAGTTTATAATGATACCTAACAAAAGTAGCTCAGACTTGTTACCAATTTTGTAAATAATTTGAAGTGTAAAAACTATTGTGAGATACTGGCTCCTAAAGTTTTTTTTTTCTATTTCATCCCTGTCATGTCAATTGTATTTATCTGATTGGCATGAAATGATAGTGTGAACCTTGTTGACTTACTGGAGAATGCTAAGGCATCTGGTCCCCCATTATAAAAAAAAAAATTATGTCACTCAAAGATCACTCATGTCAGACTTTGTCACTGTCAAGTTGCCCCTGCAAGACCGTGTTGGACATTTATTTCTCCCAAGCAGTGCTTGCAGTTGAGAGTGACAGTGACAAAAGTTTCTTGACATTCAGGGATCTCTTGGTGGTCGACTTGCATTTATACGTCTTCTCAAAGTATGCTTAAACTGGTTGGGGAGGAGAGAGAAGCACACTCTTCTGCTGTCTGGGCAAGCTCTGATGTATTTGCTCTGCCCACTTTCTTTGTTGTCTCTACACTCCCCATACTTAGCAACATTTATTAATGAAAATTTTAAGAACTTACAAGCACTGAATGATACAGTGTGTGTTGCCATGTGGCTCAGGCCACAGTGTGGTGCATTTAAAAATGGCCTCCACAAAAGAGGGGATATAATTTTGAGGAAAAAATTCACCACCTGATAATTTGAGGTATCCTGGCCACAGTGAGCCAAGATAACTTATGAAATTTCACAGATATTCATTAAAAATTCAGTGGTTGTTGCCCCCTTAACTCCTTTTTTTGCTAAGCACTAGCAGAGCCATCTACGTGCACACACTTCACAAAAAAAAAATCTTAATGAGCACAGCATTTTTTTTGGCACAACAGAGTTAAGACTTATGTTGCACCATATCATAAGTTCTTTACTACCCAATTATTTTCTAGTTTTTGCTTATGCATTATCATATTTCAGAAATGACAATTACCATATATCAATGACTCATTGCAATATATATTCATGAACATTTAATTTTGCTCTTTGTATGCAATTCCATTCTCAGACCAGATGCCCCAAACTGTGTTTATAAAAGGTGTTATCAGTTTAGTCTTTCATCAATAACATAAGCTTGTCGATTCTATTTATCTTGTCGGGGTCCACTCTTTCCAGTGTAGATATGGAGGATAAAAGTTTTACCTCACAAGGACATGTTGCAAGTGGATCCCATAAAAGGGAAAGTACCAAAGTGTGGACAGGAGTGTCAATGAGAATGGATGCGAGCAGGAGGGGAAGAGGAAGAACAAGGAGGGAACAAAAGCTGGAAATCAGCGTGTTGATGTAAATGGAAGGAAAATTGCTATTCCAACAGTACAGCACCATGAGTTTTCAAGAGAAATTAAGGTGGGCCATGGAAATGGGCATGGACCACCATGATTTCAATCTCACAGTATGAGCAGGGAAGCCAGAGCAGACCCTGACAACTAAAGTGTTAATTTTCCGATACTCATACTTCCCAGACTTTCTGTTGGAAGGTGACATTTGTGGGTGAAGAGGCACATGTCCAGGGGTTTATTTCAGTAGTTCCCCCAGGAAGGAATTGCAGGAAAAGAAAAAGACCTGGCCACCTCACAGGCAGAGGTGCAAAGGGAGGCTACAACTACAGTCCCCAACACCTGGCTATAGGGGCTACCACGTGTGGCACCATCATCAAAGGGAAGCAATCAACCTCAGGATGACCGACAGGTGCAGGAAGTGTAGGAAGTGCTGCGGAGTAGCAATGCAGATTTTTCAGGGATGGAAGTATCAGCAATCACCCGAATGCTGCAGACACTGATGCAGAGAATGGATGTAAATGACAAATCTGTCAAGTTACAAACCAAGGAACAGAAACAGAGGCGGCTGTCACACAACCCTACCCCTGAACAACAGAGTATTGTTGATAGTGTAAGCATGTCTTAACCATAGGTATCTGTTCACTGGACTAGATAGATCCTGTGGAGATGTGTCCCATTTGTTGATATACCTATGTTTCTTCTGTGAAATGCAAACCCACATAGGGACTTGATATAGGGGTGAGGATAACCTACATTGCCTCATTCTTTTGAGATGTAAGCTTGTGTCAATAAACTTGTCAAAAAAAAAAAAAAATCATTAGAAAGTGAGTAACATTTTTGGCCTCCCTCCATTTATGGTCAATCTTATTTGTGTATGTTTTAGTCAACAAAATTATATTAATGATTACACTTAATGATGATAAACCTCTTTTGGCAATTTAAGGCCTTCCAACAATTACTAATGACCATTGTCCCTGGTAGGATACTCTTAAATGATGCATATGAACAGGTAAAAGAAAATTTTCTTCACAACAGTCTTCCAAAATCCCAATAACCTTCAATTATGTGACCTATGTTATATCTGCATTCTTCAAACTGGGATTTATCAATTTGTAGTATTTTCTATAGTCCACCTATTTTTTACAACTCATGATTTGACCACCAAGAAATAATTAGCTCACGACAGAAGCTTGTTTAATCAGAAATAGTCACTCCGACAAATTTTAAAATATTTTCATAGTTAAATAGCTTCCTGTTATCAAACCAGGTGTTCTTAAAAGGTGATTTCTTGAAATTGCATCCAACTCTTCACATAAGAACCTTTTTTTGATATGTCACATCAAAATAATAAATCTGAGTCGCACTTGAGGCACTTTAGCTCTGAGGCATTCAAGTTGTACGGCTGGCAGAGACTGAGCAGGTTAGCCTGTCTGCTGTATTGCTGCCAAAATTGCCCATACCAACCATAAAAAATGTTAATGACACACTGTAATGATCCAGAATCACAAACTATACTGATTAAAAACAAACAAAAAAATGGCCAATGAAATATTCGTTTCATTTTTATTTTTAAAAGACGCACAACCCAACTTTTGAAAAGTATACAAGAGTCTACAGGATTTCACAATCCAAAACCTCCATGGCAATCGTAGTCCTAATCAATAAATCAACCTAACCTTAATCCCATGGGATTTATACACTACGATCTATATATTCCCTATTCCACAGGACTTTGCTCCTTGGACCCCCACAGCATATACACACAATGTTCTATACATTCCCTAGCCAGGGCATTATACCCACCTGGACTCCCATGGTAAAACCACATAATTGTTTGAGGAAGCCACCTGTATCCCCCTGTATTAGTACTGTGTGCCAACTTACATGAAACTAACATTAAAAACTTTGGCTGTGTGAGGGTGTTGTGCAGAGGATGTTTGTCATTTCTTGGTAAACATGAGGCCACAATTAGGACTATTTCAGACAATATGTAGTACAAGGTAGTGGCAGAGTTGAACTTTGTCTTGGTCTGTATTGTTCTATCATTTCATGTAGGTTTTATTATCCAACTCTGCCACTACCTTATACAACATATTGACCTAAATAATTATCAAAACATGTTAAAGTATGATAAAAATAAAAATGCATTAAATACATGGGCTAATGCTACCGAGAATGATGCAAAAAGATGGTGGGAAATGGACACTGCCCATCTTCTGGAGCATAAAAAAATGGAGAAAAAAACACAGGAATACCATATTTACCATGAATTGATGAAAATATCCACTGCATATCACCACTCAGACTAAGTCCATAACACCCACACACAGCCAGTGTTCTTAATGTTAGTTTCATGTAAGTTGGCCCACAGTACTAATACAGGGGGATACAGGCGGCTTCCCCAAACCCCTGTCCAGGTTATAAATAGAAGGTAAGAAAGATTTGGTCTGGATTTGGGTTCGCATGATACTCTGCTTTTAAGACTTCATCTCTGGAGGTACGTCGCTCTCGGTAACAAATACCAGACATTAAAAGCCAATGCTTTTGCCAGACTGCAAAGCACGAGTGGGAACATGTGGTCTACTCTGGCCATTTGCCCTGAACACCGGCAATAACAACAATAAAAATCTGGCAAAAGAAATATTATATATCCTCAAATACACAATTAACAAAATCCGTTAAATTGAAAATATATGCAAAATATCTTTAGGGTCTTTAGTAAATCTGAAAGACAATATCACCGGTTGCTACTTCAGATGCACATGTAAAGAACATAAAAACACCTGAAAGATATAGTAACCAGAACACGTTTTGGTTAAGCATATTATACAAATTAAGTATAATAACTTACTTCCCAACATTGTACTCAGGTGGCTGCGAGAAAGCCTGGAAAGGAAAATCTTCCGCACCTGAGCACGTGGAACGAGCGAGCGTCTCCTGCCATCGCGGCCGAGGGTCTGGTCGCTCAGCCGCTGATCCGGTGCCGCTCGGGAGGAGCCGGCGGGAACTTCAAAGTTTTCGCGAGATTGAATAGTACGTTTCTCCGGATACGAAATATACATTGTTAACCATGTATCGTAAAAAAAAATTATAATAAGATTACTTGCACAAAAAAACATATGTTAATACTGATATAAAGAAGGCTTGAGACTACGTGGACTTTCCGTGAGTGTAGTCTGAATCAAGAATCAACAGTTTAAGCACTTGATAAGAATTGCAATGAGTGTTCCACCTCAAGACTGGACAAAAATAGATTTACAATTTAAGAAAATAGGTGCCCATGAGACTGAAACACTTTTATGTATCACGGATCACAACGGCCGGTGTAAATATTGAAAAAAAACTCCATTTGGCCAAAACATACCACACACACACACACACATACACACGCACACTCACACATACGCACTCTCACACACACACACACACACACACACACACACACACACACATATATATACACGCACACACACACACACACACGCACACTCACACATACACACTCACACACACACACATACACACACGCCCCCCCCCCCCAACACACACACTCACACACACATACATACACACACACATATGTGTG